TCTATGGAGTAGATATAACTATGATTCCTATTTCATGTAAGATGGGACTGAGACATTAAAGAGTAAAGTAACTTCCCAGTCACACAGCTCAGAAGTGGTATGACTAGTATATCATCATATCATGCCAGAGAGTCTTGGTACACAAAAAGCATTCTAAGTTTCTCAAGGAAACACAGGGATTTACTTACAATTTAATTAAATTTATGGAACTTATTCCCACTAATGAACTGCCTCAATTGCAGTGGAATCTTGGATACATGCAAAGGTGTTTGATGGATGTAAGACCATAGCGTTAGACAGGAGTCAGATACTGGGACAAGTGAGCCATGACTTAAGTTTATAGGGCCTTCCATGAGTGTGCAAACCTCAAGATACAATCAAATCATCAAACATGTGGAGACCTTCGGATTTCAGCAAGAATTAAAAGGGACAATGCTCCCTAGAAGCTATAGTAACCCTGAAATGATAGAGACAAGGGCTGGAACTGCCTACAAACTCTAGTGTTGTACTAGTTTTGTAAAAATTATTATTTTTCTTGAAACTTCTTCAAAAAACACCACCACCACAAAGAACCACCACCCATGAGATAGATCTGGAGTTAGAATGGGACAGTATCCACCTGTCCCAACAAACCAACCTTTCAAACACCATTAGCTGTGCTGACTTGTATAAAATTAAGCCTGAGCTGTATAATTCTGTATAAAGTAGTAGGCTTCTAATCAATTATTCTACTATTTTTTAAAAATCGGATGCTGACAATGGAACAAACTGGGATAGGTGTATACATAACATAACTGCCTCCAATGACTATATCCACGCATGCTGTCTTTAATTTCATCTGCCAACTTTTGTTTACATGTGAGTGAAGGAGAGCAAAATATGCACCCCAAAATATGACTGTAGGAGTTCAGAACATGCCACCTGCAAATAGGCCACTGTGGAAGATTGGCTATTTTGAGCTGTGGACACTTAGAAAAACAGCAACTGCAGGGAAAGGCTTTCTTTGAACTCCCCTTCTCTGCCTAAAGACAGAACCTCCAAAAGGAACTCAGTTGTCATAAATCTCCTCCCGGGGGGGTTTCATCAGACACACTGTCACAAACTACCACGCCTCCTATCTGTTCTTCTAAGGACTCATTCATCTGTCCTAAAAATCATTTACTCTCCGTAAGAGACCTCCCCTTTCCCTAAGATGATATTTAAGCCTGGATCTAAGTCACCTCTTTGAGTTACTCATTTATCCCTAGCCATCACCCGTGTGCACATGAGATACACATGTTAATAACCTTCTGTTTGTTTTTCCCTTGTTAATCATTCTTTTATTACAGGGGTCTCAGCTAGGAACTCAAAACGGTAGAGGGAAAATGATTTTTTCTTCCCCTATATGAGCACATGACCTGTTTGGGAAAATTACGATGCTAATTCTCCTGACCTCTGTAGGTTCAAAAAATTGGAACAAAACCTAAATTAGGCCAAAATGTTTTTCCTGTGGTTTAAAAATTTAATTCTGGAAAAGAAGTGCTCATTTCTCCTAGGTTTAGGACTATTAGCCTAACTGCAGGGAACACTGAAGTACCTGGGATTACATGACCCAGGGGCAGGCCTTTACCAAGGAATGCAGAGAGAAAAATATTTCAGTTCCTTTGCCTGTTAGTATAACTCTGAGGAATCATGTAGACCTGTTCTGTCCAATATAGTAGCCATATATCTAGCTATGGAGCACTTAAGATGTGGCTGAAAGTATAAAATACAAAGAATTAGTATGAAACTTAATTTTTGCAGTGACTACATGTTGATGTGACAATGTTTTTTATATAGTGGGTTAACTAAAACATATTATTAAAATTAGTTTCACCTCCTTTTTAAATGTAAATACTTCAACATTTGAAAGGACATATGCATGATACAAAAAAAAGAAAAATTTTGTATCTATATATAGTAACTAGACTTATACTGATCACTTCACAGTAATACAAGGATCAAATCATTGTATTGTACACCTGAAACTAATATCATGCTATATGTGAATTACACCTCAATAAAATAAAATAAAATGACATATATTTATTTAGGTGTGGATTTAAAATAGCCATTCGATTTGATAAAAGGTATGTAGAGGTTGGAAAATAGAAGTGGGAGAGATTAAGAGGAAGAAAATGTAACACTTTTGGAGTGAGTATCATGTGCTGTGCTCTGTGCTATGAGCTTTACACATTATCTCATAATACAGCGGGAACATTAGAAAGTTTGGTAGGAGTACAGATGCGGAAGGGGGATGCAGAGGTGAGGCATGTGCAGGATGAAAGCTGACTTCCTCAGTCCTGTCTGGGAGGTTAAACCTTTTTACATTCTTTTACAGTTACCTCCTGGGTATTTTAGTTTCACTCCTTAGGCTTAGATGAGTTTTGAACTTTTCTGAACCTTAGTCCCCTCATCTGAAAGCCAGGAATAATATTCCTACCTCAACGTAAGTTTCCTAACAGACTGTTTGCCACGTAACTACATGCTTAATGACTACTCCTTCTTCCTCTTCCATTAGTTGAAAGTGGTCAAACAGGTCTCTGTTTAACCTAAGGGTTTCATTTAGTAAATTGGTGAATCAGGAAAAAGTAGGGGATATGATGGAAGTACATCATAAGGCAAGGGATAACACATGGTACAAAATGTCACTAATCACAGCGAAGGAAGTAAGAGAACACCAATAATCTGGGTATCAAATTAAAATGATTCCCTACCCCCAAAGTTCAGAGGGCTTGGCCTGAGAATGTCATCAGTCCCACTTGATTATTTGAATGTTGGTTTTAAAATAAGATATAATAATGCTAGAGTTAGTTCATGAGCAGTCAAGCTTCTACCATGGCCTCTGCTCTGGCCTAGGCATCCTGAAAGATTTATAGAGGATAAGGTGGCATCTCCAGAGCATAATTCATACATGTATAAAACTGAAATATAAGAAAACGTTAGAATTAAGAATGAAATGAGGTATAACTGGCAACTGCGGTAGTAGTTCAGAGAAAAAGAGGAGGCCGCTAGTGGCTGGGGAGTCAAAAAAGGAGAATGACCTTGCAGGGTGCTGGAGAGAAAGTAAAAGCCACAGGGTCAAAGGCAGGTGGCAGTGAATCTGGTTTGTTTAGAGGGCAGTAGAGACTGGTCTGGTTCCACAAGGAGGGTATATTTGAGGGAGGAGAGAAAAACAAGTTTCACCCAACGGCCCTGAAACTGCCCTCAGTGTGGTCAACTGGGAGTACTTGAGCAACTACAAGAGGAGAGAAAACAGTACTTTTGAAAGACACTTTTAAGGCACTGGCAATTTAGATCAAGGCTTTCCAAACCAGTTTGCCCCTGGCAGCAAGGTCTGTGAGCAAAGAATGATTTTTACTTTTTTAAATGGTTGGGGATTAAAGTCTAAGGAAGCATAATATTTCATGACACATGAAAATCACATTAACTTCAAATTTCAGTATCCATTAATAAAGTTTTACTGTGCTGGTCTGCAACCTCAGGAGTTCCCTAAGTGAAACTGGCCTTGGTACATTGGGTCCCTAAACTTGGGCAAGGAGAGACCCAAGAAAGAGGCGGTCACTCCAGACTGGCAGGTGGCAGGTTCAGTAAGCAAGGGAGTTTACCCAGAAGCTTCCCTGGGCAACTGCAAGATGAATAGATCTGCCTGTCAGAATCTCAGTTTATAAAAAGGCTTCAAACTTCACATGTACCATCCAGATGGACTTAGCGACACATTGCTCTCTCAAGGCTGCACCCTTGAAATGGCTCCCACCGTGGGATTGGTGGGCAGACATATGTTCCAAGGACAGGGGAGGAGATGAGGAGCCTTCCGCTGACTGGGTCCAGCTCTGGGGGTCAACTGGCAGTAGTGTCTTCTCAATGACCTCCTCCGACATATTGGATCACAGCCCATGTTGCTTGTTTCCTTTATGGTCTGTGGCTGTTTCTGTGCTCCAGTGGCAGTGTGACAGAGACTGTATGGCCCAAAAAGTATGGCTCTAAAATTGTTACTATCTGGCCTTTACAGAAACTGTTTATAGACCCTTAGTTTAGGCTGACACTGGGGAAACAGGGAGAAGAGAGAGCATCAAGGTGGGGACTAGGATAAGGTGAGTGAGGGACACACCTTGGGCACAAAATTTAAGGGGAACAGTGCCAAGAAATATCAGTAATTAATAATATTCAATGCTATCTTTTTAAAAACCAAAATTAATGCCCCAAATCCACAATAAGCAAAATATCAAAATTTAAAGACAGGGCCAAAGCAATGTTGCACTCTGCCATACCAGAGACTAAGACAAAAGGAAATCCAGTGACTACTGAGGTTTTTGGCACCCCCTTAAATTTTGCATGGGAAGAAAATGTTTCACTTACTGCCTCCTTATCATGGCCCTGGTATTAACAGAGACATTCAGGAGGGGGGAGATGAGTAGGGTGGTGGAAGGTATGGAGACTTAGAAGTGGTTTTCAGATCTTAGATCTCAGCTTCTGCTTTAAAGAGGAGAAATTCACTCATTTCACCCAAAGTGAAAGCCAAAGCCTACATTGGCTGTGCAGTCCAGCCTCAGTTCGACTCTGACCCCATTCAGAGCCTCCCACTTGCTTGCTTCTTACCTGGCTCATTACCCCCCAGCCTCTTTATGGTCCCTTCACAAAGCCAGGAATGCTTCATCTAGGGACCTTTGCACCCGGGTCCCTCTGCCTGGAGTCTTGTCCCTGACATGCACAGGGCTCACTACCATCTTCTCTGGAGGCTCCTCCCGACCATGCTATTTAAGATTAGATCCACTCCTTAACTCCCAACCATTCCTTGCTTTATTTTTTCCGTTGCATTTATTATCCTTTAAATACATGATTTTCCGTGTTTATGGTTTCTCTCCTCCTGCCTGATGGCATGCTCTGTGAAGGTAGGATTTCTTCTATCTGCTTTACTACCTCAGAATGCCCTGCTCCTAGATGAGAACAAGCACCGCATCAGTACTGAAGGGCTGACTCACCAGATCCAGCAGAACATGACGTGGCAAAGGGAAAAGGAGCAGTTTTCCTCTTCTAAGGTTTCAAGTATTACTTCTAGCAATAGTGAGCAAATAAGCTTCTCGCTTAAAAATGATAGAATCAAAAATGAAACTTCTCACAGCTGCCCCGGTGACCTGTTGTCTGGCCTTCCTGGTATTTTTTCTGACTCTTGGAATTCTTAGCTTCCTGTATATTCTAAGTTAATTGCTTTCTTTTTCAAGGGCAACTTTAATCAAACAGCCAACTCTAGAGACACTTCTAAGAAAAGAGAAATCAATTATTTCTCTGTGTCTAGCTATAAAAAATGTCTTTTTCTCCATTGGCATTTCCCTTGGCTCCATCATCGTGTGTGCTTTTCTGTTCAGGGCTGAGGTAATCCGTCTGCAATCCAGTGTCCCCTTGCTGATTCTGATAAGAATTAGTCATAAGTAAGTCAACTTGCTTCTTTCAAGTTGTTCAGTTTCCAATTTTCAAGTATTGTTCAGCCAACAATACTTTTTAACCACTCCTAGTTGGGAGAAGTCAGTCAGGACTAAAACATGAAGTAATTCACAGGCCATGTTAAAATTTTTTATTTTGATGGTAAGGAAAAGGAAGACACTGAAGTGTTAGTGAAGGAGAGCATGTGTGTGTGTGTGTGTGTGTAGACAGGAACGTATTTGCACTTCAAAGTCACTTGAGCTGTAGGATGAGAACTAGTTGAAAGGCTGGGAAGAGTGGACACCGAGGAGCCAGTTAAGGGTGACTGTTGTTGCCTGGGCAAGAGCAAGAGGTCTAGGACTCTGGAGGGTAGCAGGACTAGGCAGTTGGCCTCTGTAAAGGACAGAGTAGATGTGTTTGAGATATAGTTTGGGCAGAAAGTGGATGAACAGTGATGAGGGGATGAGGAAATGATGTGTCCAGGATGACGCCTACCTGTCTGGCTGGAGTAACTGGGTGGATAATGGTGCCACTCATGTTGTAGGAAGTGCAGAAAGAGGAGCAAACCCGGGTGCAGGAAAATAGGTCATGAAGCTGAGGTTTTCTGAGATATCTCCATTTGGTCATGTCAAGGAGACTTGTATCTGTGGGTCTGGAGCTCTGACAGGGCTGCACTAGGAATTTTAATTTGAGAGTCATCTGTGATAAGTGGTCATTGGAGAAATGGAAATAGATGAGATCAAATAAGGAGAGTCAGGAGTGAGAAGAGAAGATGCTCAGTATCTAGTGAGGAAGCCTCAGGTTTCCTTGGCCTTGATTCTGCCCTTCACATCTTTTTTTTTACTTACACCCTCTTCACTGTAAAAGCAAAACAAGTCCTACTGGAAGGAGAAACATATGAAGAAAATAACACAATAGATTGAGTTAACCCCTGGTACACCTTCATTTGTTTGGAGCATTCCTTCTAAAAGGGAATAATTAACCTAATAATTCTCAATCCCTTCAGGATCACCTTAATACTAATAAAGCATTTTCCCTATAAAATGAAAACTCAGATTAAGCCAAAAAATATTCCCAAAGGCTTGGAAGAATTATTTTAGTTACTACAGGAGCTTGTCTTACAGATGTGGAAAAACTTGAGTGCTCAGAGAGATGAACTCTTTTTTTAAAGTTATGATTATCAGAGTTATTATTTCATCTATAATCTCTTAGGCATTGAACATCCATGAAGGGGAAATACATATCTAGCTCTTCTATTAATCTATTCAGGCCATTATTAAAATAGATCTGGGGCAGATACTTACCTAGTATGAGAATTTTCATGAGAAAAAAATCTGAATTTTAAAGGAAAGCCAGACAAAACTCCTTTAGTTCACAAGTCATTGTGAATAAACTTTTATCATCTAAGTTCTTTAGTGAAGTTTCTCATTCTGACAGGGATTTATGAAGCTACTGAGCCATGCCATGATGAATGCAAGGGGTCAGAAGAGCGAGGTATGCCAGTCTTTTCTGTACTATTTAACTGCCAGTATCAACAAAGCAAACAGTTTCAACTCCAGTTTTGTGACATTCTGGGTTGCATCTGTTAAGAGTCTATCTAGAGTGAGTCAGACACATCCCAGCAGGAAATAAGAAACAGATGGTATCCTCAAATTAGGATAGTCCAAATAAGTTAATGGGCCGTTACAAAAGTATGGAAGGGTAGAGGAAAGTGACAAGGATAGGGTAATATCCTGGGGCTGTTACCCTTGGCCTGAAGGGACACATGAGATATTGGTTAATAAATCCCAGAAAGAGGGACTCAAAAATGTTTTGTGGAGAGAGTCACCTTGAAAGGGGCTGTGATCTTTGATGGAAGGACACAGCCAGCTTTGAGTGATTCTGTAGGGAGACAGCCAAGAGAGTAAATACGCTTCCTAACTCCCTGCTCTTTCTGTTTCTGGGGGACCCAGGAGCCAAATGCTGATGTAGTCCATTCAGGTCAGCGTCGGGGGTAACGTAGGGTGGAGAGGGTGTGGAGGAATTGGAGAGAGAAGATGGTGAGCATAGAGAGGAAGACTGGCAAATAAACAACTAAAAGCAGTGGGTAGAAGTTGCTGGAGTCAGGGTGGAGTAGGGGGGACGGTTTTGTACTAGGAAGCTGGAGAGGCTGGCTCAAAAGTTACACCTTAGTTTTATGTGTCTATAACGAACATGGAAATAGCAATTCTAAACCTGGTGGAAGTGATCGTACTGAAGTGGGATTACTATCTCTTGGAAATTTTATAGAATTAAGCAGAACTGAGTTACTTCCAATGTCCTTTAAGATTTGCGTACTATGATCCTGTATTTGATGACTAGAAAGTCAAGTAAAGTTAGTGTCTTGGAAAGGGACTGGTAAAAAATAAAATTCAACCAGGTAAATTTGAAGACATAACTGGTGTTATTATGCAATTCAAGAATCGGGCAGCAGCCCATCTAGCAAGAAGAAGCTCCGTTGGACTGCAAAAAAGGAGAGGTTTTTAAAGATACAGAGGGAGCAGAAAAAAGGAAATTATTAGCAGAGAATCCATTGGTTTAGGCAAGGGCACCCTGAAGGGAAATAAAGGAGTCTTTCAGTAAATTTCCTAGTGCTAACCAGGAAATTTCATGTTGACTAATTGAAGGTTATATTTCTAGGGAGCTGAAACTGCAGTTAGGTTAAGTATTAAGTCTTGATTTGTGGACATAGGCCATTAGCATTTTCTAATCTGTCTTTAGGCCTGTGTTTCTATTTTTAACAGTAGTAAAAGAAAGATATGGATTTTCTTTGTTTTTAGTAAAACAAATGTTTGAAAAGCCATTACTGAACTGAAAAATCCCTGTACACAAAAATATTCATCACAGCAAAGGGTAAAATGCTGGAACACATTTCATTTCTAATAGTTGGGGAATAGTTAAGAACATTGTAGTATGTTCGTTCAATGCAATATTATACGGGAGCAAATAATTGTAAGTACAAAGAATTATAAAACAGCATGGAAAATGTATATGATACAAGGCTAGGCTAAAAAGAACAGTATTTAAAGTTTTATCATACTCTGCTCACAATATTTTTAAAATATGTAAAAAAGACGAATGAAACTGTAAGAAATTAAAAGTTTTATTAAGGTGGTAAAAAAATGGATGATTATTTTCTAGTAATTTTTCAACTTTTCTGTAATGTATGAACATATTTTAAAAATATATTTTAACATGTCAAATACTTAAATATGTTTAATTTCTTTGAATTATAATTTAAATATATTACTTCAAAATGCAATGAAAGTTGTACCTTACGTAGTGCTGAAATTTTTCTACATCCTGATGTGGATGGTGGCTACCAGGGTGTAAATGTAATAAAAATTCATTAAACACATATTTATGATTAATGCCATTTATGCACACTTACATGTGTACATATATACATATACATATACATATATGTATCAGTAAGAGTTTTTAAAATTTCCATCTGCAACACATTATCTAAAGTGAGATAACTCACTGGATAAGTGAGGTTGACTGTAATTCTTTCTATATTTACATCCTGCATTTTACCAACAAAATACAGCCTGAGATTCCTGATTTTTATTTCCAAAGACAAAAAAAACCTCATAGAATTACAACTTATGAATGCCTCTTTTCCAGAAAACTCTTGTCTGGATCCAGTATACCATGCTATTTTAATTGATGACTTGGAAGTCAGTGACAATAGGATATAAGTAAGCCTTTGGACCATATAATCTCTAATAATAAAATAGAAATAAAGAGAAAACATAAATTGAAACTGGAAGCAAACTGTTATTTCAAAATACAAGAAAAATTATCTCCCATCTTATCACCCCTTGTCATTTTCAAAAAGCAAAATCCAACCACGTTAATCTGAAGATCGAACAGCCTTTATTAAATGATTCATGAATCAGGCAACTTCCCTTCTAGCAAGTGGAGGGGAATTCCAATGAACTATAGGAGAGAAAGGTTTTTAAAGGCAAAGAGAGTGTAAAAATAAGAAAGGAATTTATTAGCAAGGAATGCATTGTTTTGGCAAAGTTGTCCTTGTGAGTGGGAGGGGAGGAAGTCTCTTCCAGAGGATGACCTCCAGGAAATTCCAGTTTGGTTGGGTAAAGTCTACATTCTTGAGCAGCTAGAAACTGCAGTTAGGTTAGGTATTAAATCTTGGTTTACTGACAAGAGGGCCCTTTCTTTAGATTGCTCCATTATGGGCTGTAATTTTCCTCTTGTTAACATTATTTTCATGTGCGTTTTTTCTTTATTTTTTGCTACTGTTAATGTACAATTACATGAACAACATTATGGTTACCAGACTCCCCCTATTATCAAGTCCCCCCATCATACCCCATTACAGTCACTGTCCATTAGGATAGTAAGATCCTATGGAATCATTGCTTGTCTTCTCTGTGTTGTACAGCCTTCCCCGGGCTCCCCCGCTACATTATGTGAGCTAATTGTAATGACCCTTTATCCCCCTTATCTCTCCCTTCCCACCCATCTTCCCCAATCCCTTTCCCTTGGATAACTGTTAGTCCGTTCTTGGGTTCTGTGAGTCTGCTATGGTTTTCCTCCAGGTTTTCCTTCATTCTTTTTCTCCACAGATGAGTGAAATCATTTGATACTTGTCTTTCTCCGCCTGGCTTATTTCACTGAGC